CCACTTCGACGATGATAATTATGTGAACGTGCCACGCCTGCTCAAGCTTCTGGACAACTACAACCCACGGGAGGACTGGTACCTGGGCAGGCCCTCGATACCGGCACCCTTGGAGATCATCAGGCAGGGTCCGGAACCCTCGAAGCGGCCGGTGAGTTTTTCACTCGAATTACGAACCAGTTCCTAAACTGAACTTCCTTTTTCTTCGACATTTCGAGAGAGGGGACCACCGGGTTAAGGGTGGACAACCTATATCGAGTTGGTTAATTAAGGATACCTTTTAGAATCTAGGAAATTTGAAATTTTTTCCAAATTCCAGGAGTTTCGAGTTCCTGAGCGAGTTGATAAAAGTTGATAATGGATTTGAAAATGGACACTTCCGTGATTCTAAGTTTTGATTTTTGTAATTTGATAAATTCAGATTCTGAAAGAATTATTATTTTAAATCATGTAGGTGATTCAAGATTATTATTAATAATATATTTTGTACCCTGTTTTGGAAGATGAAATTTAATTTTATATAAAATAAATGAATATATAATAATTTTTTTATTATTAATAGCTTTTACTAAAAGAGCTCAAATTTCTTTTTCAACTTGACTACCAATAGCAATAATAGCTCCTACACCGGTTTCATCATTAGTTCATTCTTCAACTTTAGTAACAGCTGGTATTTATTTATTAATTCATTATGTAGATTTATTAAATTATGAATTTAAAAGGTTTATTTTATTAATTTCTAGATTCTGGCACGATTGACAATAAGATTAATTTTACTTTTCGAAGCAAGAATCGTAGATTTATCTTAAAAAAATTGTAAAATCTAAGTAAGATCGATCGAGAATTTGTCCCTTCCTTCCTTCCTTTATCGTTCGAGTGCGAGCGTTGGTTCGATGTATTGAAACCGTGTACGAACGAAAACAACAAGTTTTTTCGTGTCCTTTCTTGCGCGAGACGTTCGCCTCGTAACCGAAGGAATTTCTTTCATTTTCGTGATTGGTGACAGCGACGATCGTTTCGCGGAGACCTCCCTCAATCCGAGTGACGGTGAATGGAGGCGGTAATGAGTAACCGTTTCCTTTTTTACCCGCCGTCAAAGGATAGAGGCGTGAAATTCCCTTTTTTCGTGCGCGGCGGGAGGTCTCTCTCTCCTTGGGATTCTCCAGGGACATGGAAGAAACGTGAAAGTTGGGAGAGGGGGGAGAGAGAATGGAAGAGAATTGGCAGAGAAATCGGTGAGGAAAGGATAATAAATATTCGACGCTTGAGAAATTTAAGAGAAGGGAAAGGAAAAGAGTAGAGAAATTTGAGAAGTGGGAAATGTTTGATACACTTTTGCAAATCTATGGAAAACTTGATTGGAAAGATGAAAAATTCATTAATGAAAAAAACTCTAGGAATGAAAAATGTTTGGTACATTGATTTGGAAAATCTATGAAAAATTCACTTACAGAGAAAGAGAAAAGTGGAAAATTTGATAAATAGAACATTTAAAAAATAAAAAATGTTTGGTGTATTTTTGTCAGATGTCAGAGATAAATTGGAAAATAAAAAATTCGATAAATTTGCAAAAATTTGGGAAGAAGAATATTTGGCGTCTGAGAACATAGGTGGGAAAGAAATTCGAGGGAAAAGTTATTGCTTTCGTTTCTGGTTGGGGTTGCACCCAGAGAGGAAATTTGTTGCGCGTTTTCTTGCTTGGACGCGAGCAAGGAAACGAGTTACGTCACTATCTACCGGCCTTATCGAATTTATGCATCTGGGAGGAAGCAGCCGCCGCATTGTAGCCGTATTTTCCAGTTTGCAAGCTTAAACCGAATCCACTACCTTCCCTTAGGGGGTGAATTCGAAGAGAATGGAGGAGGACCGTTTTCTTCTTTTTTTTCTTCCTTTTTCTCGTGAATTTATCTTCCTTCGATTACGAATACGAAATTAATGAATCTTGAACGAATTTTTGATGATAAATTCGTAATTAGACTTGAGAAAAAATTTAATCTAAAAAATGTAATATTTTGTAGTTTCTGTGTTCTCTGTGATCATACCTTTTTTTAATCAATTTGTTATGTATATCCTCTTTTTCAAGATCGTTTGGAGTTTTTGCATCTTTTCATAAAATCCTTGATTTTCCTCACAACAGTTAAGGGATATGGTATTCTGTTCTTAAGGAATTCTCGATTCTTTGGATTTTTCACATTAGCTTCTCTTTCTTCACCAAGTGAAATTACTTGAAAAGTAATTATATAAATTAATATTACGAATAAAAAGATAATAAATGTATCTTTTTATATATATATATTATATTATACTATACTATTTATAGAACCTAATATTAATTAGGAGAATTGATATATATATTATACTATTTATGTTAAAATGTATCTTTATATATATATATATATATATATATATATATATATATATTA